CTCCGCAAAAAATAATTAAGAGAAGGGGGAATTATTGGGATATTCCACAACTCACTTCGTGGGATATCGTACACCACACGTATTCGTGACCTCAACTTCGAGGTTAAACGCCGCGTTGATGAAGTCAGGCACACATCGTTGTGGTGCTAACGTCTCACGATCATAACACGGATTACCGTCTGTAAAAAACAAGGACTGTAGGATAAATGATTGTATCATATAATAGAAACACAAGTTCCTATTCTCTATCCAGCTCAGCCTATACCTATTTCAGTCAGAGGCTTACCTTCTAAATTGTTAGCCTCACTACGTATTAATCATTTGAGAATTTCTGACTGCATCGAAATTTTTCATCATAGCTCCTAACAGGGAATGCTGTTACTGCTGGGCAGGCTATTTAGAGACTTCATTGATGGAAGTTCGTTAGGAGCGGTCCTATCGCACCCCTTAGCAAACTATCGTTAAACTGTTTCTCAACGCCTTCCCATCTATACCCGCTTAAAAAGCACTGAACACAGCGGCTGGAAGGCGGTGCGATCTGAGGACATCGTTCAACGCCATTTGTAGACAAGACAATTTATCACGCTGGAGGGTGGTTGGGACCACCCCTAACTCTCTTCTACCAATGTCGTCAAAACCACAATTCCCTCCAGCCATCGTGACCACTTCCTCTGAACTAGAAGCCCACACCTACTACATACTGCACATAGTGCCTATGAAGTACCACCACAAAAACGACGTGATTTTCTAGGAGCTGCAAAGGATATTCTGCCACTCCATCGAAGACCCTGTGAGCCAAATGTCCAAATTGGGCTGCCACCGAGATTGCTTTCATCGTCAATACATAAGAACGCCTCACAGTGGCTAGGGGAAAAGATCAAGTATGAAGTCTAATTGGATTCGCCTCGCACTCTACTTCTACACGAAAACATGGAGGTACCCTAGAGTGCATTCAACCCACACAATGAGGCAACAGATTTGAGACAGGCATGAGCTCAAATCAGTTTCCTATGCAACGCAGTAAGCCTGACTCTAATTCAACAACTCTCACGAACATGCAAATATATCGACAGATTTGAGTGGGCTTGGGCTCCGAATTCGAGCATTTGCAATTCAGCGACTTCTGTCACCGGGCTCAGGCAATCTTCAATGTCCACAACTGCAATTCCCCCCCCGTCCCCCCCCCC